CCCCAAAACCCCAAAACCCCAAAACCCCATGATGTTTAAATGGAATAAGTTAAAAAAATACAGCAATTCTAGTTCGAACATTTATCTGTTTTCTTCATATAAAACTAAATAATTCTGATAATATTATTAACTTGATTTTAAATATTAATGGTAGAGAGAGCATTTACTAACATTTTACCCCAGGCAGGACCCTCAAATAAGATCTAGATATCGATATCTTGCCGAAACTTAGCAGATATGGATCTACTTTCAAAATCAGATCCAGAGGTCCACGTCTACATAAAAGATTCCAAATCTAAGAACTTTTCCTTTATTGGAAAAACTGAAATGATATTGAACAATTTAAACCCTGATTTTACCAAGACATTCATCTTAGACTATTACTTCGAAAAAGAATAACTCATAAAGTTTGAGGTGCATGACATTGATGTTAATGGAAGCGACCATATTGGAAACTGCGAAACCACGATTTCCAGAATTATGTCAGCTCAGAGGTAGACTTTTATCAGCGATTTAAAGCTTCCTGGTAAAGAAAGAACTCGTGGCAAAATTATCATAAGGGCTGACTCTGTTGCTTAGTCAAATAACGAAATTGCATTTAGCGTCTCCGCAAGACTAACAAGCAAGGGCGGTATGTGCTGTGGATCAGATAACCCTTATGTACTAATATCTAGAGCAAGATCATCATAGTCAGGAAATGAAAATGATTTCATCAGAGTATTCCAAACATCTTCCATACTTGGTACTCATAACCCTGTTTGGTAACCTCAGAAACTCAAGATGCAGGTATTCTGTAACTCAGATGACATGCTACCAATAAAAATATCTGTGAACTAATATCAAATGCATGGCACACATCCCCTCTATGGAGAATTTGTTACAACAGTTAGAGAGCTTTCAGAAAGTTAGAGCAAAGAGTTTTAACTATTGGATTCAAGAGGAAGAAGAACTGGAGTATTCAAGTTTGATAGATTTAATCTCATTGAAAGACCTTCCTTTGTAGATTACTTGAGATCTGGCTGGTTTATAAATATGTCTGTAGCAATAGATTTCACAGCTTCCAATGGTGAGAGTTTCGAGCCAAACTCACTGCATAGAATAGATCCCAATGGTGTCTTTCTTAACTAGTATCAATCAGCCATTCAGTCAGTTGGCTAAGTTCTTGAGCCCTATGCTTTCTAATCTAAATTCGCTGTCTTTGGATTCGGTGGAGTTCCTAGATACACAGGAGCTACAGCTGTTTCTCATTGCTTCAACTTGACTGGAACTTAAGACCCTACAGTTGATGGTCTTGTTAATATGTTTAATCTTTACAAAACAGCTTTACACGGTACATCTCTCAGTGGCCCCACATATTTTTCCTAAGTTTTAAAAGTAGTTTTGGATTACATGAAGGCAACTATGCATCTTCAAATGTACCATATTTTGCTGATAATAACTGATGGGGCGATTCATGATATGAAAGACACTAAAGATCTAATTGTTGAGTGTTCCTTGTTCCCTCTCAGTATCATTATTGTCGGTGTTGGCAATGCAGATTTTGCCAATATGGTTGAACTTGATGGAGATGACGTTATTCTTAAAAATTCAAAGGGATAAGCTGCTGCAAGGGACATTGTTCAGTTTGTGAAGTATTCTGATTTTATGAATGGAGATATAAGTATCTTGGCAGAGGAAGTATTAAGAGAGGTCCCTGATCAAATAGTTGGCTATATGCTATCAAAGAACATCTAGCCCAACCCAACACCTTTAATGTCGCAGAAAACTATAAATTAGAATTCGATGATGATATGAGCAGATTTATTAAAAGGTTAAATGATACATAATTATTTAATGACTATCAGATTCTTAATTAATAAAGAACCAATTCTATTTTTAATTCCAAGAACTGGTACAGTGGGGTTTTGGGGTTTTGGGGTTTTGGGG